TGGATGCAGTTTGGCGACAAGCAGTAAGAGGCGAGGCGCTATCCAAAGATGCATACCACATGTTTTCAGTAGTATGGGATCGTTAACAATTCTATGAACACGTGTGTCATCATAAACGTTGGAAGACAGCCTTTGGTGTGCAATATCTTATCACGGTCAGACAGTTCAGCCTGAACACATACAAATGGCCACGTCGGATTGCAATGTATGGGTGCAGTTCTGATCCCATCTTCCCGGGAAGAGGAACTATCGCAGCCACAAGCACGGCTACTTATGCAGCGGCGATGTTTGCCAGGCCAGTTGTTAACAAATGGTTTGAGCAAATTATTGGGGATCGATTGCCCAACGTTGGAATGGCGACCTTGACGGTACACATAGATGATCTGGGACCCAATCCAGCAGTGCCTTCATTTCATGATTGTGTCGGGGCTATGTATGATCGGGCAGTCCATCTTGCAATCTTGGTGTGCGATATCTTGGGCGTCCCCTTACCTGAGAAGAAGTTGTCATGAAGGCGTGTATGGCAGCCTTGGGCCCCTAGCGGAAAGACCCGAGCATTGGATCAATCATGTAGGAGTAGATTACGCCCCAGGTCGACGTAGACGACAGTCAGGACACGGACGTACCAGGAAGAAACAATACCAGGACATTAAACCACGCCTTGAGAAGCTGATGGGCATGAAAGGACCAGCCTACAAGACAGCCAGGGTCGATTTTGCAGGCGCACAAGCATCAGCATCATATGGTGGTGAAGTTCCTGGCTGTACGCCAGGGGAAATCAAGTGTCTTCGACGAGCTGGGTCCAAGGCTATGGGCTTCTTGGGAAGCTCTTTGGGCATAGGTTGACTTCTACACCCTGACCAGGATCAGCTTCAGAGAGCAGTAGGCACCTTCCAAACGGTACGCCAAGGAGTGGTGGCAGGCCACGGGCCCAGGCCTCATGCAGGCTGACGGGTCAGTTCGATAGAGCGCAGCAGGTCCTTTGAGCCTGCCCAGAGGCACGTGGAGGAGATCCCTTCGACGGCGCCATGGCTTTGAAGGTCTCGGGGCCCCTCTGGCATGCACCTCTGGTTGCGAGAAGCAAGTGGGGAGCAGGTAGATCCAACGACATTCGTAGGAACAGACGGCATACATCAGCATTTGCCTGCAACCCCGCCCCACTTGGTGGCCAAAGCGCTGCTCAGAGATTGTAAGAGATTGCTTTTCAAGCCCGCACGTTTTAGAACCCTTTCGGAAACTCAGGACGCTCGGGCCCAGGAGGTCCGCGAGAGAGGGTTCTGGTCCTTGGGCCCCCCCCAGGAGGCTGCTTGGCAGCAAGCAATTCCCCAAGAACTTCAAGCGCGTGCTAGAGCAGGTTTTTTCGGGCAGGTACCCCACAGGACTCACTCTTAAGCGCTGGGGGTACCAGACAGATGGACATGGTCCGAAATGCGGAGCCCCCGACTCCATCTGTCGTCGTGCATGGGAATGTTCTTGGCCTGAGGCCCAGAGAGAAACCATGGATGAGGAAATTCGAACGATGGCCCAACACCACGGGCCTGCGGATCCCCTCTTCTCCTCCTTGTTTCTGCCCCCCCCCCCATCGTGTTCACCAGGCCTGTGGAGGAGCCAGAGGTCATCTTTTTTGATGGAGACGGTATGATCGAACCCTTCCGCTTTAAGAGAAACGGCGTTCGTCACTACATTGATGGATCTTGTTTTGATGGTTCTATCCCGTTTGTTGCGAGAGCGGGCTGGTCGGATCTAGAGTATTCTGAGTCTGGGGATAGTCAGAGGCATCAGGGGCCAGTCCCAGATGAGGTGCCACAGAGTGCCTCTGTCGCAGAGCACATGGCCGCGTGTACGTTCCAAAAGCACCTGGAGCCCGCAGAGCCCTCGAACTCAGGACCCGACCCACCGCTGATTTGTGCTGATTTCAAAACTGTTTTGCATGCTGACTGTCAAGCAGTAGTCTGGGGAGCGGCCAATCACCTTATCGCGAAACGCCAGTCGTCGCCGCATGCTGGATTCTGGAGGATTTCTGGCCGGCCGACCTTTGAGTGTGTGAAGGCGACGGCTCACCAACCAGAGGACCAGGCCAGGTCGGAGCCGGAGCTGTGCCACACTCGGGGCAACCAGCTCGCAGACCATGCAGCCAAGCAGGCAGCTCTGGCGAACGACATGAGCCAGGCTGGCCTCAAGGCGTTCCAGCAGGCCGCGAAACTATACACAGCTGTTGCACGACATTTGTGCCAGATTTTAGCTTTGCGCCCCCCCTCCAGGAGCTGCATGGGGGCCTTCCGCGAATTGCCCGTGCTGTTACTTTCCCGACGTTTCCTCGCCCTCATTGTCCTGTTTGGGATTGTGTGGCCAGGGGATGGAGATGCCAACATTGCCGCCGTCGACGAGCTAAGCAGCTGGCGACATCTCGGTGTTTCTCTTTCCCTCCGTCTCTCAACGGGGCTGTAAGACGTGCCTCGGACCTTACGTACCCACGCCCCCTTTGGGTCGCGTTGAATGAGGGGGCGGAGATTCCTGTGATTGTTTGTACGAGGTGTGGGCATATGGTGTCGGCGAGGGCGAAGCAGCTCTTGCGCCAGCGCCACCCATCCACCTCGTCCCCCAAGGACCTTTCCAAAATTAAGAGTAGCATTTTCCCAGGGGGCAATAGGCAGAAGCTCTCTACCCCCTGGCCCCTTAGCAGAGTTTTGGAGCCGCCTTGGGCTGTCATCCCGCCCCCATCTCGGTTGTTCCTGGCGTTGGAGGGTGCCGGGCGCCCTTGAGCGGCGAGGTTTCTGTTGTTGATCAGGTAGGGCCACGGGTCGACCTAGACTTTGAGCGCTTGAGCGTTTGATGGGGCAGGAGGAGGCCGGGGGACGCAGGAAGACGGGTAGAGGGAAAAGGGGGAGGAGGAGGCAGGAATAGCAGGGACCGGAGAGAAGGCAGGAAGAAGAGGTAAGGGGGCAGGGAGAGAGGAGGCGGAGGAGGAGGAGGAGGAGGAGCAGGAGGAGGAGGCAGGAGGCAGGAGGCAGGGCAAGAGCCTCCTCAACCACAACAAGCGCAAACGCAAGAACGACGACCAGTAGTCCCATACAGTCCTGAGAGTTTACCATGCGGGCCACCACCGTCGGACCAACTATGTTGGAGTGCGCTCTGCGCGCGGCTCCCTCCTTCGTCCTCTTTTGCTGCCGCTTTCCCCCTTTTTTTCCGTCTGCCCTTTTTTTGTTCGTCAGCATCGGTGCATGCATCCGTCCTTGAAGTTCTTTGCATACTTTTGCATGTGGTTGCATTGCTTGGCATTGATGCGCATTGATTCGCATTTCTTTGCTGTGCACGATTTTGCCTTGTGTTGCGTTGCGTTGCGTTGGTTTGCATGGCTTGCATGGCTTGCAACACTCTGCGTCGCAATGCTTTGCAATCGGACAGTCTGGCACTGCAACCACCTTGCATGTCATTGTTTGTCATCGCATTGCATTGCAATCGCGCTGCGTAGTATTGCAATCGCATGGCATTGCTCCGCATCGCGTCGCATTGCTTGGCGTTGCTGTGTATTTCGTTGCCTTGCGTTGCGTTGCGCTGCTTTGCATGTGTGCGCGCATTGCGTTGCACTGGTTTGCCGTGCTCTGCATTGCATCACTTTGCATCGGGTTGCATTGCTGCGCATGGCCTTGCATTGTTTTGCAGCACTGCTGTGCACCACATGAATTTCACGCCACGTATTGCACCACCTAGATTGCACCATGTTGGTTGCACCACCTAAATTGCACCGCGGATATTGCAAGAGGCCATTGTTTGTGGTCCACGCTGGGTAACGATATTTCGGAATCGCGTTTTCGCCTCAATGCCGGGTACATGCATTGCCCGGACGGCCACCATTTGTTTGCATTCAGTACACTAAAGTGCGCATGGCCATGCTCTCACCCTTGTTCCCGCAGTTCGTCGCCTTTGTTGACATTCTGGTGTTGTGCTTTGCTGGGCACTGCTATATATATATATATATATATAGTTATATATATATGTAAACGTATATATATATATATATATGAGTCTGTCTCTCTCTCTCTCTCTCCATGGGCGTCTTCGCTCTGGCTGCGGTCGGCGTCCTCTCTCTGCCTGGCCGCGGGCGTCTAGGCCTTCTAGATGGGGTCCGAGTAGATGAGGTCGGAGGATCGCGCCGCATCGCCGATGCATCGCCGATGCGGCTCGGTGTGGAACCCGACTTGCTTCACGTCGATGTCGCCGATGCATCGCCCACGTCGACGATGCATCGCCGGTACACCCCCGATGCATCGCAGATGTATCGGCGATGCGGCGCGACTCTCCGACCCCACCTACTCAGACCCCATCCAGGAGGCCTCCAATGACCGGCTTTTTATCTTGGGCTGTTTTTTGACGCTCCCGAGGCCCGGGAGGGGCGTCCAGAGGCTGAAAGCAGCGAACAAAAATCCCGTCGCGATTTCTTCCTGACTCGAGGGGGGGAGGAGGAGGAGGAGGAGGAGGAGGAGGAGGAGGAGGAAGAGGTGGAGGAGGAGGGGGTCGACGTCATTCAGGAGGCCTCTATTCGGAGGGCCAAGGGGACAGGAGCACCACCACAGCCCCAATCACCGCCCGGGCCCTGTCCCTTCTCGTCTCTCCCCGGTCTTGGGCCGTCTCGGAGCTGACCCTGGGCCGTCCTGCAGTCGTCGCGTCCGATGTGGGGGCCATCGCTGCCGTCCTCGATGAATATTGAGCCATCTTAGAATCCATCTTGGACCGTTTATCTATATAATATACATTTATGTGTATACTCTTTGTTCTGGTATGTATATGTATATGTATATGTATATATACATATATATATATATATGTGAATGAATGGACATAACATGTTCGGCTGTATTGGAGGCCACCTCTTTGAGACCCCCCCCAGGGGGGCCCGCGAGAGGCACTCGCTGGGGTGTCCGCCGCGCGGTGTCGCCCGCGACCTAGGGGCTCTCCGCGAGGCGAAGCCCCCCGAGAGCGCGGAGGAAAGGCGCAGCCGCAGCGGCAGCCGCAGCCCTGCGCGCAGCCGGGGTCCATGCGGCCCTCTCGCGCGGCGCATGGAGCGGCTGCGGGCAGGCGCTGCCGGCCTGCAGGCCCCTCGGCCGCCGCGGTCGTCGTCTCGTCGCCGCTCTCGTCGTCGTCGTCGCCGTCGCTCCTCCTCGCCGTCGTGGGCGTAGACGAGACGCTCGTTGGAGGCGGATGGGAGGAGGAGGGGGAGGAGGAGGAGGAGGAGAAGGAGGACCAGTGTAAACCCAGGACGCATCAACGACATTGCAATGAACGCTCCCACCAACGTCCCTCCTCATAGGGCCCTGCAAGGCTTCATCTTCATTGCGGGAGATGCCCCATGGGAAGACAACCACCCGAGAATCCCCGACGTCCCCAAAGGCCAGCTCGGGGACTTCAGCGTCGCGAGGAAGAGGAGGAGGAGGACGAGGAGGAGGAGGAGGAGGATTAGGGAGGCGGCGGCGGCGGCGGCGGCGGAGGAGGAGGAGGAGGTGGAGCAGGAGGAGGAGAAAGAGGAGGAGGAGGGAGGAGGAGGTGGAGGGAGGTGGAGGGAGGTGGAGGGAGGAGGTGGAGGAGGAGGAGGAGGACGAAGACGAGGAGGAGGAGGAGGAGGAGGAGGAGGAGGAGGAGGAGCAGGATGACGTCGCTCTGGCCGCCGTCGCCCGCGCCGCTGCCGCCGCCCGCGCCGCCAGAGGATGTGGCTCGGGTCGCGGCGGCGCTGTCGGCGCCGGCGCTGCTGGGGGAGGCGCCGCCCCTGCAGCGGATCGCGCTGGCGTGCGGCGGCGTGCGGCGGCGGCCACGGCGAGGGGCATGGCGGCGGCGAGGAGGACGAGGGCGAAGGCGACCGCGAGGGAGAGGACGAGGAGGCACGCGGGGGGGGAGGACGAGGAGGGGGATGACGAGGGGAAGCTCGAGGATGGAGGAAGCGGATGAGACGGAGAAGAGATCAGAAGAGGAAAAGGTAGCCATACCGTTACCCTTCCCTCGTTTTCCCCATTCTGTGCCTCCTGAAACGCCCTCGTCGCCATTGCTGGAATCGCCTCGAAATCCTGGTCAGAGCGCGCCCCAGGAGTGGTCTGGGAAGTAGCGGAATCCGTCCTTGCTTGGTTTCCTCGAGGGATGGGGGATGAGGAGGATGTGGATGTGGAGCACGTGGAGCTCGGACGTGCTGTGGCTCGAGTGCTGCAGCGTGCGTACATGTGACCTCGCGGCGGTCCGCGTGGATATCTCGCATTGGCGTTGGACCCCCCTCGGCGGCGCCTCCGGCTCGATCCCTGGAGCGCGCGGAGCGCGTGGGGGAGCGGGCCCAGCGTCGGTCCGAGAGATCCGCGCGTGCCTCCGACAGTCGTATGCGCATGCACAGGATTCGACTTCTGGGAGGTAGAGGAGGTCAAGGAACAGAGTGACGCGGAGGTGGAAGTGGGCGTTGTGTGGCGGAGGTGGAAGTGGGCGTTGTGTGGCGTCGGTCCGAGAAGTCCACGCGTACCTCCGACAGTCTTATGCTCATGCACAGGATTCGAATTCTGGAGGGTAGAGGAGGTCAAGGAACAGAGTGACGCGGAGGTGGGAGTGGGCGTTGTGTGGCGGAGGGGGGCTCTTAAGGAGGTGACTAGAATTTGGAGTCCCGGATTTGAGCGACATTTTCTTTGCGAATGTGTCGTTCGTATTTGTTCCTAATTAGTGTTCGAAGTGCCTTGTCCGACGAGGCGCCGTTGTCCGCATGGCTGATGTCTGCCACACCTGGAGGGCGGGCACACAATCTAACAATCTAGCAACAACACATCCGAGTAGGTCGTCTCGTCCTCGTCCCTCCTGCTGCTCCTCTCGCGCATCCCAGTAGGTCGTCTCGTCCTCCCACTCCTCTTTCTCCTCAGACGTTTCCCCTTTTCCAGCTCGTTTTCCTGCTCCTCATCCTCCTCCTCCCGTCCTCTTCTCCTCCTCCCCTCCTCTCCCCCTTTGCGTGTTTCTTGTTGTGCCGCACCTGCACCAGATGGGCACGTTGCCGCTCTGGGCGGCGCAACGTGCCAACTGACTCGTAGCGCCTTCCTCAGCGCGCGCGCCTCTGCAGGCGCTGTGGCCTCAGGCGCGCCAGGCGGCCCGGCCGCCCCAATCTTCCGCCGTTCCGGATGGCGCAGCTCACTGTTCGTTGCGCAGGCTGCCCGCTCACTCTGCGTGCTGGGAGGCGTGGGAGCCTCAGGCGTGCCTTGAGGAGGACCCCGTTCCGCAGGTGCCCCCTGCGGGGCCGAGGTTGGTCGCTCTCGTGCGCTCGCGTGCCGAGCTTCACCAGAAGGACTGCTGCGCGCACCGCCTGTCGAAGGCCAGGACGAGAGCGTGGTGGGGGCCAGCAGCCTCTCGTGGTGCGTGCCGCGTGCCCTGAAGGCGTGGCGGCCTCCGGCGTGCACGGCGGCCTCGTGCCCGACGGACGCCCCAGCTGCCACGGAAGCCTTGCCCGGATTCCCGTGCCGCTCTGCTGGCCACAGGGGCCGCGAGAGCATTGGAGCCGTCCAGTGGACAGACGCTCATATCCCACCGCACCGCCCGCTCTGAGGATCCAAAACGCTCCAGGCCCCCCACTCTGACACACCCGAACCTGCACGTAGCACGTCACAGAGACATGCGGCATCCCTCCTCCTTCTCATGTCTCATGTCTCTTGTCCTGGCTCGTCCCCTCTTGTGTTTCCGCTCTTCCTACCTTTCCTGTCCCCGCCCCCTAACCCTTCAGAGTCTTCAGGGTTGTATTATCCCTCCACCATCCCCTCCTTCCTGCCTCATCCCTCGTCATCCATCTCCTCATCTACTCCTATCCCCGTCTCCCTCATTATCCTCCTCATCTGCCGCCTCCTCCTACTCATCTCCCTCCTTCCCCACCCCTGCCGCAGCCACCCAGAACCTCCTGAAGCCTGTCCTCCCTCTCCTCCTTCCGTTCCTCCCTCTCTCTTCGGGTCCCAACGTTCCATCCTTCGGTCTTTTCCTACCGTCAGTTACCCCATCTGTCATTTGTCCTGTTCAACCACTCCTCCACTCTGCCTTGTCACACCCCCAGACGCGTCGGTAGGGCGGGTCAGGCGTTTCGCTTGAGACCTCTCACCACCCATGGCCTTGAGTCGTGAAGTTTGACATGTGCAACATTTTCACGGGTGGTTGACGGGCCGTTTTCAACATGTGTTTCTCGCCTTAGTCTCGCGCATGTTTCAAGAATGGAGGGTTGGAGGTGTTCAGAAATGGTGTTCTCGTCCCAGCGTCGTGCACATTCGTTATGAGACATTCGCAATAGTTTCACGTCAAGGATTCTCGCGGTCAAGCTCCCAAGAGTGGTGTTCTGGCTAGTTTGGGGGTTGTCAGGACGCAGCCGTCACGTTGCTTAGAGGTGTTGTAGTTCCAGGAAATGTGCTCTGGCACAGATTAGGACTGTTCAGGACGCAACAGTCACGTTTACTCGCGACGCTGAATTCCCAGGGGTGGCGTTTTGGCACGATTGAGGTTTCTCGAAGGATTGCCTTCCAGTGGGGCATTTCCCGCAACGAGCATCTGCGTCTTGTAGGGGCCGATGAAGAGGCAATTTGGAGGACGGGTTGAGTGCAACATTTGTGTTGCGTCTTGGTTTTGCAGTAGTCCTGCTTCCCATTCTGTCTGCCCCTCCTCCTGCACCCTCCTCACCCTCCCTCATTCGCATCATCCTCCTCCCCTCCTCTTTTCGACCCCCCCCCTGGCCTCCCCCATTCGCACTTCTACCCCCTCCCCCATCCTCCTCTTACTCATCCTCGTCCTCCTCTTCGTTCCCTTTTTTTCCTCACCGTCCTCCCCTCCTCCTCCCTATCCTCCTCCCCTGCTGCTCCTCCCCCTCCTCTCCCCCCTTCGTTTTGACTCCCAGCCCATCTCTTGCCTTTTCAACTTGTCGCACGGTTGTCATGCATAGCGTTTGATTGATATTGTGTTATTTGGGTTGATCGTGATTCTTCATGAATTCTGGATTATTTTGGTCCCCAAACGTGCGCCAGACCTTGAGTCCTTGAGCCTCTGACCCCTTGAAACATTGACTCCTTGAGCCCACGAGTCCTTGATCCCTTGAGCCCATGAGTTCTGGAACCCTTGAGCCCATGAGTGATTCAGCCCTTGAGTTTTCGAGCCCATAAGTCCTTGAGCCCTGGATCCCTTTCGCTAATGAATCCTTGAGTCCCTGTGTCCTTGGGTCCTCGAGACCTTGAGATTCTGTGTCCCTGGGTCCTTGAGACCTTGAGTCTCTGAGTCATTAAGTACTTGTGTCCTTCAGCCCCCCCTCCTCGCCAGCGCCCCCCCCGCCAACGGGCGTGCGCGCGGGCCGCGCCAGGTGCTCCGATGCTGCCAGGCGGACGCGCCGGACACGTGCTGCACCAGCTCCTCCACGGCGGTGCGCCGCGCTTCGCCGCCGCCGCCGACGACGTCGTCTTCGCCGCCGCCGCTGGCGTGCTCCTCGTCGTTTTCCTCGTCGCCGCCGCCACCATGCTCGTCGTCGCCGCCGCCGCCGCCGCCGCTCGTCGGCGCCGCCGTCCGCGCGCTCGCCCCTCGCCCTCGCCCCGTATTGTACCGCCTCCGCGAGACTGAAAAGAGCACTGCAGACGGAGGAAGAAAACGAGAAGGAGGAGGAGAAGGAGGCGCCGGAGGAGGCGTACATGAGGGGTGGAGGAGGAGGGCGAGGAGGACAAGGAGGAGGAGCAGGTGGAGGAGGACAAGGGGAGGAGGAGGAGGAGGAGGAGGAAGAGGAGGAGGAGGACCAGGAGCAGGAGGAGCAGGAGGAGAGGCGTCTGGCCCGAGCTCTTTGGGGAGCTCAGCTCCCACCCTGCGCGCACGTTCGCCGCGTGCCGTGCACGTCGCGTCGCTGCAGCAGTGGTTCTTGCCCTCACGTCGTGTCCCTTCGGCAGCCCCTTGGCTTCGCACAGCAAGGAGTGAACGTCTCCGCGGTCGAACGCCAGTCAGCGTGCACCAAGCCTACGCCAAATTGAGTCAGCACCGTTCGTTCAGCAGGATCCATGTGCGAGCGTGCGGAGAGGAGGGACTCCCGCGTGGGATGGCCCAGGATGTGGTCGGCACGCAAGGCATCACAAGCAGTGTTCCCGTGGGCATCCTTACAGTTCCAACTTGGGTTCCCCCCGTGCAGGACAACTCCAGGTATCGTCCGTCAGATCGTCGCACCCCGAGGCAGAACAGCAGCACCGGATTCTCAGATCGAGACCTTCGACAGTATTTTGCCAAGGTCCCGCCGATGACGAAATAGGATGCGTCTCAGGAGCAGTGCTACCGTCTGCCGCCAGAGATCAGTTCAGACCACCTTCGCCAGCAGCTGTGAGACATCGGCATTCCTGCCTTCACCGCCAGAAGAGCTTCAGAACGGGACCTACGAGCCTGCGCGACAAGAAACTTGCGGCCCACAAGTGTAGTATGCGGGACCCTCCCCGTTGCGCCAGCAGGTCGGCGAGCACCAATTGAATTTGGAATCGGCACAGGAGAGATTACGCGGTATCCAGAGTTGCGTCCGGGTGCTCGATGCTCAGGAGACGGCCGCCAACAGCGATATTGAGCAGATCCATGTATACATCAGGGAGAGAGGATATGCAGCAGGAAGAGCCTGCCGCAGTGGATGCGCCCATGGCCTCAGGACCTTGTTTGGCCCGTGGAGGGGGGCCAGGTCCAGCTCGGCGTCGCGCCAGCCGTCACCGCCGCCGCCTGCTCAGCAGCATTTCCGGGTGCCAGTTCAGCATCAGCCAGTGCAGGTCCCCCCCACCTGACAAGACGGCAGAACTTCGTAGGCCCCTCGCGGGCATGGCCAATCGTCAGAACGAGCCAGACAGAGTTCCGGGAGAGATCGCACAGGCCTTATGGCGTCAGGCGCACCGACAGCAGCCGCACGGGCAACAGCAA